GGACACCTGCACCCCAGCCCTCCTTCCCATGGCCTTCTCATCTTCAGTGCTCTCCTCCTATCCCTGAAGGCCAGACCCTCCATGAACTAAGATAACCTGAGGTTTTGTTACCTGTAACCAAAGGGCGCAACACAGATTCCTCAGTCCCACCCCTACAAAATCTCTCTTCTGTGAAATACAGATACAAAAATCAAAAGTAGTTATAAAATGTAACTAATGGGCAAAGGACATGAATAGATGGCTCCCTGAAAATGACTTGCAAACGGTTTATACAAATCAACACACACTCAACTTTACACAAGTAAAGAAACACACACTGAACTTCCAACTACCAGCCCTCCAAAGATCGAAAAGTTCGATAAAGCTCAGTGTTGCCAGGGCCTAAAGAAACTGGTACAGATATGCTCTCCAGTGGGAATGTAAACCAGCGGTACCGCTTTAGAGGACAATTTGGCAAGATGTTTCAACACACACTCAACTGGGAAAGTGATTAATGTCAGGGGCAAAGAACATGAACAGGCAACTGAGCACAGACAACAGGCAGGGGCAGGAGGAATGGGGAGGAGAGAGACAATTCAGAGAAACTACAGAAAGAACGCCCAGAAGGCTCCAAGCAAGACTGAAGTGGTAAGTGGAAACATACTGTATAAATACCCTCATTTTAAACACACAAAATGCAGTTGGTGTTCTCTTTATCATTTGATGGTTGTAAAAGTATTCAGAAGGGATTCCCTAAGACACCAGCCTGGGTCTCTGTTTTTCCCTCCACTTCCTAGGGTAGGAGAAGGCCGTGGAGGAGGAAGTGCAAGAGCCACTGCCCTCAGAGCCGAGCAGAGCACCATAACTCAGGCAGGTAGAGGGGAAAGTGTGCTGATATTCAACACTGAGAAAGTCTATTAACCCGAATGAATGGGACAAAGGAAGAGGAAAACAGTTTGTTGCTGCTTTATCATGAAGCCCATCACCAACCTAACACTGTTTCTGATGGATGCCAACCCCTAATCAGTGAAACCCAGCACTTTTTGCAGAAGACTCCCAGACTCAGTAGTTCATTGACTAAGAGGAAGGCAGATCTCTGCTGGCTCAAACTTCATTCCCTATTCCCGAAATATCTTTGAAATTTCACTGTCTTCCCCCATCTTTAGATTATTTACTTCCTTCAGTAACAGTTGGATTCAGATGCAATGCACACAAGTTCTTGCTGTCACATTTACAGGTACATTTCCAGAAGTCTGAATGGTTCATCAAGGCCTAAGAATGTTCCACGCATGCACAGCAGGCCTCTCCTCAACAAACACGAAGTATGGCTGGGTCAAGACTGTGGATGCAGCCCCACTTTGCAGGCCTCAGGGGTCTTCCTCTAAGCCTCTGTAAGTGCTGGCACCTCACTTAACCAACACTGCCACCCGGGATGCACTGTGCATGGTAGAGAGGAAGAAACAAACAGCTAGGGAGGTTCAGTAACTTGCCTGTGCTCACCCTGTTAACAGGTAGTAGGGCTGCTGTTGAATCCAGACTTACTATGGGTTAGGCACTGTGCTAATCACTTCATCTCATCTAACTCTTTGGCACTGCCCAATACCGCCTCCCTAAATCCTTGACTCCTCTGCTCATTATGGGCACGGGTGAAGTGAGGAGTCAGCCACACGGACTTCAGAGGTCTGCCTTTGGGGTGCTGGAGAGTTAAAGCATTGGACCAAAACCTGCCAAAGTCCTCAGAGGCAGGCATTTAACCATAGCAACATAGCCAGGCTTCTGAGTTTTATTTTCTAGGTTTATCTTTAGTTATTTATTTTAACAATCCTAAGCAGCCAGGCTTGCTAAAGGGGATCTCCAGCAAAACCCCAGAGTTAGTTCAGCCTCTGACAGAGAAGACAAGAGACTCAACAAGTGACAGAGAAAACTCCCACTCTGCTTGTGAGCCAGGAAGTTGGCCACATTTGCAGGTGGGAAACAAGGCCACAAAAGCTGCCTGGAGCCTCAGGAGCATGTTTTCAGAGCAGGCGAATTTTTGAAAAATGCTGACATCTTACAGTATAAACAGAGGAGACACTGCTAAACAAGCCAAGGTGAGCGTGGCCAGGTTCACACTGCAGGCTACCCAGCTGGCCTCCACTAACGGCAGATCCCCCAGGTAAGAAAAACACCATGACCACTGGCAGAAGTTCTAAAATTGGACTGTTATCCTTGCTAATTCATAATACAGAAAGTTAGAAGCTGCGAAAATGCAGGTAACAATACCAAAACATTTTTATAAAAACAATGGAAATGAGAAGAGAGCTCATTAAATACATTCATTCTGGCTTTGTCCCCATACTGAAATACTCAGAAGTAACCACCATTGCTGTGGATTGCTGCAGGTCCCATAAGGTACCATATTTTTAGCACCATTTATGTGAATACAGATCAAGACATTTTTCAATATATAAATGAAGCTTCTAAAATTAAGTACAAAAAATTATTTTTAAGTTCAGAACTAAGTTCAAACACCCCTGGTTACTAGGAAAACAACTGCCAAGACTGTTGATATTTCAAGCCCTGAGCTCCTTCCTTGTACTGACCCATGTTTTGGCAATTTCATTCGTGACCCAAACTTATACCCAAGAAATTAACAAGATTAACTGAAATAAAACTCCAATCATGTCCTCCTCCATTAATAGCCCTGGCTTTTAATGAGCATTCAAAATGCTTAAGTATGCAGGTGACCATAAGGCCTGGGAACAAAGACATACATAATAAATGATTTATTGATATCACATTTCAATACAACTAATATATCTGTTTCCAGACTTAATGACCACCCTATATATTTTAATTATACATACTAATCCATTCCACTATTCCCAGTAACAGATTTCAGCTTACCATGAATAAACTACAATCAAAAGGGACAGTTGACCTCCACCCTCCCGGAACATTGCTGGGTGCTATAAGCTGTGGGGCTGTGCACACGTTAAAAGAAAGCACGCTGTGACTGCAGGCCAACATGCATACACATTTGCACATGCCCTCATGTGTACACACATACCCTGCTCCTGGCCATGGCCGACCCCACCTCACCCCTCATGCTACCAACTTCCAGGAAAAGCCAGGAGTAGCAGGCAGCCAAACCAGTTTAGTTTTGTGCTTTTCATGGCTGCAAGTGATAAACTAAGTTACAAGAATATTAATAATCAGTTGCCTATGTCTCTTTTCACACATTCATTAAACCACTGCACGACTCAGCACTAGGGCCCTGGTCTCCCCACTCCCTTAGTTAGAACTGAGAACCCAAACGAGCTTTCCCAAAATAGTTAAGTATTAAATATGGTTCTGTTAAATAGGGAACTTAAACAACTTTTAGAAATAGGAATTTGCAGAGTACATGCACATAAGTCCTTCCATTCATTCAGATTCTTATTCTTTTATAACTTCAGCTCAGGAGGTCTGTCAGCCATCTGTTGTTTTATTTTTAAATGGCATTTTAAAATTTATTCTAAAATCAGTTCCTTAATTCACTTCTACAGTTCCTTAGACCATTTTTAAATTACCTGATTTCGTGCCTGCCTTTGCAAAACTATCTGGGCATTTTATGTGTTTCACACACATTTCAGATTCACTTCACACACACTGAGAGCTTCCTTTTTATTTTTTTAAGAAGTCACAAATCTTAAATAAAGGCATTTATTTTATGCATACTTACCAGTAAGATTCCCTGATGGCTTATGCTTCTGAAAATACTGTCTAGCTTTCAATGGGGCATACCTGCAAAGTACTGCTTAAGAAAAAGAGAAAGGAAAATGACCAAACCATATTTTAATATCAAAACAAGACACAGCCAGGAAGTCTGTGTAAGTCCTATGTATATGATGAGATGGTAGGAGTCCTATATCATTAAAGGTGATACAATACTTCATAGTCATTACTGGAAGATCTTCAAAAAGTAGATTACTAACTCTCAGGTAAAACAGCACCTTGAGGCGAGAGGGAGGACAGGCAGAATAAGTCTCTTACCAAAAAAAATATACTAAACATAATATCCCACAAGTGTTTCTTCCAAGAGAAGGGTTATCAATTCGTGTGGCCTGAGATTTTACGTGATAAGCTGTAAAGCCAGAGAGGAAAAAAATAACAAAAGGATATAAAGGCAATGTCTGTTTTTTCCTTAATCAAAGAAAAAATCTAATCAGACAATAACCGAAAATATAATAGTGTAATAAAAGTGTAAATGGCTATATAAAGAAAAAAAGATTAATCCTGTCCTGTGCATTCAGAACATTTACATATATGCCAAATTCTGAGGAAGAAGAACTGCAAACATTTCAAATCAAATCCCACATGTGCCCAAATCATAAGTTAGAGACCATGTACTGGCTCCCTGTTCTCTAATGCCACCATGATTGTTCAATGTGCATGAGTGAAATCAGTGGATGTCATACATGCAGAAGTAGCAGCTCACAATACAAGGGGAATCTGAAAATGTTCTGAAAAAGTGATGTTAATTCCACAGAACATGACACAGGGAAATTCCTTAAGGTTTAAATGCACCTTAAATTAGTTAAAAGGTATAAGTCATACCTGCTTAAGGTGGAGATAATTTTTCTGCCAATACCATAGGGTCCAAAACCTCTGAACTCGCAATAAACTCTGGGATAGAAAGTAAGCATAGTGCAGTTCCTACTACCTCCCCTTCTTCTAGAACACCTTATCGTTTTAGAGATCCCTCTAAGTAGATTGTCTTGAATCCATTTTGATCTCAATTTAACTTCTGTTCTACTGATGTCATTTGACCAGCTCAAGAGCAAGAATGAAATATGGAATTAAGACTCTGAGCAACTGAAGTTTTATACTGCAACCAAGAAACGTTATTTTTAAAGTTGGCCAATCATTTCTATTTCCTGAAGTACCGTTTCTTTGAAAGCTTTGCTTCTCTGATGATATGACCCCACTAAGCCCAGATGACAGTCTGCTAGCAGAGACTGACAAGGCCTTGGAACAGAAAGTAATATGAAATAAACACACCCTTTTGAATTTTTATCAATGTAGTGGTTCAGACCACAATTTCTGCAAATACTCTAACAATATCATACATAGAACAAGAATATGAAATGTAAACATTAAGTTGCCCAGAAGTCCAGTTCAAGTTCACTAAGATTAGAACATTTTCAAAATGCAAAGATTGATGATCATGAGTATTATCATGAGTACTATTAAAATTAAATAGTGTATAAGAATCAATGGTCAGATTCAATGTACCCAAAGGGCGCAGATCCCTACTGCCATGTACAATCTAAACATTTCAAGTTCTGCTTCAAAAAATGAATGGTAAGCATTTCCTGCTGTATAATTACAAATACCAAAATGAAGCATCAAAGCCAAAAAGAAGTCATCGTTATTAATTTAATTTGGCTTCTGGGTACCTCCTTATTCAAGGCACCACTGTATTTCACAGTGAAAAACAGAAAGCCTCTCCAACGCATTCACACACATTTAGAGAAATTTGATGCCAACATTCTAGTCAATAAACATATAACAAAACGTGGTGAATAGTACTAACGAGGTAATGGGAAAATACTAAAGTAACAGTCTGAATAATTTTGTGCATCCTGAGTTTTCTTAACTAAGACTTCATTTTTAATTAAAAGCAAAACTTACAAAAGAAGGTTTGCCCCTCCCCCCAAAAAACAGATTAGACAATTTATAAACTATATTAAATTGGACCAAATAAAGATTTTAATTCTTATAAAATAAAGCAGTACTTCAGGGATACTCCACCTCCACAAATGCTGAGCTAATTCAGGTGCTGCCAATAGAGTTCTAAACACTGATGTGTCTGGTTCCCCTGAACAAAAGCCAAGATCCATGCCTCTTGCAGACAATTCAGGCCTTAGCACAGACCATGCTCAGCAAGGCTGCCCCTCTGCCACCCCCACGGTCACTCCTAGCCTGAGCTGAGCAGGCTACCGCTCAGGACCATGAAAGCTGCCTCCCTCACGCTTCCCAGACCAAGTCCTGGGCACGGGCTGCTTAGCCACACTTCTGTACTCACGCACACTACATGCTTCTGCCTAAACTCACGGCACATCACAGGTGGTTTGCTGGTACTCATCTGCCTCCGGAGCAGTCATGCAGATTGGGCAATGGACGTACCCTCAAACACTGCATTAAAGAGCACAGGAAGACTGGGGTCCAGCCCAGCTACACCTCGGAACTTAGATCAGTGACTGAAATCATTTGGCCTTGGTTTCCTCCTCGAAAACCACAGATGGATATAAACTCCGTTCTGACTATAAAATCGTGAATCTATGGAACTTTAGAGTAATTAACTGCCCCAACACTAGGGTGCAACTGCTAGCAGTGTTCATCTACACCGAAGTGGCACCATCTGCACTGAGCCCCAGACTCCAGCACGTCAGAGATGTGAGACGCCTGTCAGAGTCACAGAGAGCAAGACATTCTAGGTTCCCCTGCCATTCCCTCCTGCAGCTCCTCCAGCCTTCAAAAAAGACTTGAAATAACCCACTTTTGGACCCAATTCTTAATTTTCTATAAGATCTGCTTAAAATAACCTTAATATGTAAATCCAGACCATTGCTCTTCCCTCCAAAAGAAGATGAGACTGTCAGAGGATGTTAAGACTGTGCCATTAACAGATCCACCCAGAATTATATCACTGAGATTGCATAGGAAGATTACTACACAGACCCATTACCACCAAAAAAAAAAAAAAAAATTACTATCTTAAAAAAAAAATTAAACGCCAGTTTACCATCAGACAGAGTTTTGATTTGAGAGATAAAGAATATACTCCTTTCCAAATGAGTCTCCTTTGATACAAAAGTATTTGCCTCATGGACAAGATGTAGTCTGCACCTTCCAAAGGTGTGCTCTGAAGGCCCCCAGGGAAACATATTGCATTACAGATGAGGGAAAGGACCTGGTTAGTTCTTATTGTTAAAAGCTAGTCTTCGGAACATCCCAGTCCAACGTGGCTCGCAGGCACTCAAGAGTTCCCATAGATCATTCTAGAGACCCACAGGCCTGAAGCCCAAGCCGAGGAACTGCCTGTGCTCTTTGTCCCAGACTGGGCTGGCCAGGTGCAGGTGTCGCTCACAGACTCGTCTCCTCGCACACTCTGACAGGGATGTTATAGTGCCGATCGTCCTCGGCGATGAGGGTCACCACTGGCCAGTCCTTGGGAGGGTCAGTGGGGTAGACTGTGATGAACTCTTCGGTGTTGTACATGGAAAGCCGGTACACCTTGATGGTGTGGCGCACAGCATAGGCGAGAAGGAACATTTCAACCTGGGAAGAAAACAGCAAATGGCCATTCTGAGGGAAGCAAGCTGTGGCTTAACAGGTGCTCCATCCGTGATCCCAGACAATGCACAGCAATGGCTAAGCCACAACATTTTCTCCTCCCCTTTGCGCCCAGCCCCAATCATTTTCTATATGAAAAAAAGCAGATAATCAAGAAAAGATCATATGTTTGATAGGAAACCTAAACCCAGAATATATAAAGAACTCTTACAACTCAACAAAAAATAAATAAATAAATAACCAGGTTAAAAAGTGGGCAAAGGATGTGAAAAGACATTTCTCCAGAGAAGTTACAGAAAGGCCAATAAGCACATGAAAAGATGCTTAACATCGTAAGTCATTAGAGAAATGCAAATCAAAACCACAATGAGACAGCACTTCATAGCCACCAGAATGGCTACAATCAAAAAGACAGACAATAACGGAGGATGACTGCTTAACGGGTACAGGGTTTTCTTTTGAAGTAACAAAAATGTTTTGGAACTTCACATGGGTGGTGGTCACACAACACTGTACATGTACTAAATGTCACTGAATTAGACACTTTGAAATGGTTAATTTTATGTTATGAGAATTTCAACTCAATTTTTTAAAAAAGACAGTAAGCCATGTTGGTGAAGACGTGGAAAAATGAGACTGATGTATTTGCTGGTGGGAATGCAGAACAGTGCAGCTGCTTTAAAAAAGTCTGGCAGTTGCTCAAGATGTTAAACAAAGAATTATCATATGAGCCAGCAATTCCACTCCTAAGTATATACCCAAGAGAACTGAAAACATATGTCCCCACAAAAAAACTGCATGAATGTTCACAGTAGGATTATTCATAATAACTGAAAAGTGGAAACAACCCAAATACCCACTGAAGTGACGGATGAATAAAATGTGATATATCTATACAATGGAATATTATTTGTCAACAAGAAAGAACAAATACCGACACATGCTGCAATATGGATGAATTATGTGTGTGTGCACATGTGCACACACACCCAAGAGGAACATGGATGAATCTTAAAAATGTTACGCTTAATGAAGGAAACCAGTCACAAAAGAGCACATATTGTAAGATTCCACTTATAGGAGATGTCCAGAATCGGCAAATCTATAGAGACAGAAAGTAGATTAGTGGCTGCCCAGGGCTGGGGGGAAGGAGAATGACTGCTAAAGAGTACGAGGATTCTTTTGGGGGTGATAAGATGGTCTAATATTGGGCTGTAGTGATGGTGGCAAAACTTTAAAAGGGTGAACTTTATGAGATGTAAATTGTATTTCAAAAAAGCTGCTATTAAAAAAAAGAAAGGACTCACCATTACAGCACACCTTGGAGGGTCTCAGAAAAGACTAGGCAAGCATGCTCTACTCAGCTTTTTACTGCAAGGTATTTGCTATGGTTCTGGAGACCTAAGTAAACCCGTTATGAGTATAGATAATTTTTTCAAATAATTATCATCAATCCTGCCTGACCTGGCAGTGACCATCAGTCTTTGCTCTTTCCTCCACACTGGGAATAACAACGGAAGAGACTTACACCCTCCAGGAAGGCTCAGAGAGGAACCCAATGCAGTGCTCTACTCCTGACAATACCTGTCCTCACACTTGTTCCTTTTCAGAAAAGATGGGCACAAGAGTCAGTCATGTAAGCAGAAAGGTAGAACTGACAGACAACCTTAAGGCTATTAATGGTTGGCTATTCCACTAAGAAAACAACTGTTAAGACTTTTTAGGGAAATGAACACACCAAAGATAGTACAGGTGTGGTGCCTCAAGTGTTCGCATAAAGAACAGTACTGCACTGGGCATCTGTGTAAAACTCCAAGAGCAGGCTGGGCTCCACTGGCTAAGGTGACTCCATTTCTTTCTTCTTTCTTTCTTTTTTTTTTTTTTTTTGGTGGCTGGCTGGTATGGGGATCCGAACACCTGACCTTGGTGTTACAACACTGTGCTCTAACCAAGTGAGCATTTCTATTCTTAATGTGGGTACAGCTGCCGTGATTAAACAAGACTCTTCACATGACTCTTCCAAGAGCTTCATTTACTTGTGGCCTCCCAGAGCCAAGGGTACCAATCCCATCCACCACCCTGCAGAAGAATGCCCAGGTTGAGATAACAGTGGTGGCTATAAAATATGTCTAATTCTTGGACACTCCTCACTTGAAAAGGTGGCACCTAATTCCCCTCCCTTTGAGAGTGGAATGGATTTAGTGACTTGCTTCTAACGAGCAGGATATGGTTTAAGTGACAGTGTGTGACTTCCATTCCAAGATTAGATAATAAAAGGTACTGTAGCTTCCTCCTTGCTATCTGCTTGGATCACTCTGGGAGAAGCCAGTTACCATGTCATGAGGACACTCACACAGCCCTATGGAGAGACCCATGTGGTGAGAAACTGAAGCCTCCTATTACCCATGAGGAACTGAGGCCTCCTGCCAACAGCCATGTGAGTGAACCATGTTGAAAGCAGATCCCCAGCCCCAGTCAAGCCTTCAGATGACTGCAGCCCTGAACAACATATGATGGCAGTTCATGGGACCCTGACCCATTACCACCCACAGGCTGCTCCTCAATTCCTGACCTACAAAAACTGAGAGATCACATTTGATGGTTAAAGCTCCTATGTTTGGGGGTATTACACTCCCGAAGGGACAACTCACCTGTTCAAGGCCACCAGTGTGTCCCACCTGGTTTAGATGGTTCTTCAGCAGCTGTCCAGGGTCATTAGATGTATCCCGAGCAAACAGGAGCACAGAGAAAAACGGTACTTCCTTTCCCTTCTCTTTATCATCATATAGTTCAATGGCTCTGTTTAGCATTAGAAATTTTACAGCTTCATAGAGGCTGTATTCCTCTTCTTCATTTGTGAACAGTTCATCACAAGCTATCTGCCTTGCTTCGGCAGTTCTCATTTCAGCCAAGCCTGCCCACTACAATAAGAAAGTAATGTAATAGTTAGAATTTTTGTCCTAGAAACCCCTGGTATACTTCCATACTATGAGCAAAAAATTATTTTCAAAAGTAGGCGATCATGGGTCACGTACCAATGCTGACAACATTCAAGTTTCCAACTCAGACAATGGTACTATTTAGACCACACAAACTCCTTACTCAACTTTTCCATGACTGACTTAAAACAAAAGCACAATGCAATAAGGAGAAGCCCTGGAGCCATGGAATGGAAATTCCAACTTCCCTAACTTCCCAAGCAATGAAATTAGAGCAGTCAATCAGAGATACTTATGGAAGAGCTAATGTGTGTGTGAGGCCTGTGTGTGAAGCCATGAAGGCCAGCTACAATTACTCCACCCCAAAGGGGCTTACAGGAGCTGTTACCACCCAGGAACACAAAGCCAGCCCTCCAAAATGAAAGCCAGACGAGGAAGATTGTGGTGTCTCCTGAATATTTAAATAAAGTTTTCTAAGCTTACCCCTTAAAAACATACACAGGCTTCAAATGAATAAATCCATTCAGGAGATTCTTATTGACTCGTGATTAAGAATTAAGCAGAGTATGAAGTATTCAGCTAACAGAGACAAACTCTTTAAGTGAACAAGAAAACCCTATAAATATGTGTGCTTTTAAGTTACAGTGAATGAGAATAAGAGATGCCAACATAAATACCAGTCCTTATGAATAACCAAATACCAGTACTGCTCTCAAAAATCATTACAGATTTTAAATCCAAGAGTAAAATTTAATGGTTAATGACTCAGTAGTTGCACAGTTTCAGGTCTTATTTTTAAGTCTTCAATCCATTTTTAGTTGATTTTGGTATACAGTGAGAGGTGTAGGTCTAGTTTCATTCTTCTGCATATGGATATCCAATTTTCCCAGCATAACTACTAAGGGAAAATATAGGGGAAACAATTCAGGAAGTAGGACTGGCCAAAGACTTTATGAACAAGAACCCAAAAGCACAAGCAACAAAAGAAAAAATAAATGCGATTATATCAAACTAAAAAGCTTCTGCACAGCAAAGGAAACAATAGAATGAAACAACCAACAGAATGGGAGAAAATACTTGCCAACTATACATCTGACAAGGAATTAATATCTGGAATATACAAGGAACTCAAGCAACTACACAGTAAAAAAAACAAATAACCCAATTAAAAAATGGGCAGAGGAGCTCAATGGACATTTGCCGAAGGAAGACATACAAATGGACAACAGGCACTTAAAAAAATGCTCAACAGCACTAGCCATCAGGGAAATGCAAATTAAAACCGCACTGAGATATCACCTCACCCCAGTCATACTGGCTATAATCAAAAAGACAGAGAACAACAAATGCTGGCGAGGATGTGGAGAGAAGGGAACACTCCTACACTGTTGGTGGGACTGTAAAGTAGTACATCACATTAGAGTCTAATATGCTGTTCAGGTAGCCAATCTGTTTCTTTATGCTGACTTTTATATTTTTGTTCTTGCCCATTTGGTGTCGTAGTACAACCCCTAATTTACAGTCAGGAAGAAGGAAGGAAAGAAAGATCACAGTGGTGTACTGGACTTGCAGATAGAGAGCATACCAAGGGTTGCCAAGGTGGGGGGAATGGGAGGATTAACTGAGTGGGGGACAGAGGAATGACTGCAATTTGTGGTAATGGGCATACTGATAGTATTGATCTGACCATCACATCTTGGGTACAGGTGGTGACAGTCAACTTTGTACTCCATGAATACACATAATCAATTAAAAAAAAAATACCTTAAATAAATAAATAAAAATAATGGTAAGGACCGCTCAGAACTCTCCAATGCCTGGGTTGAAAGCTAGAACATCCTGTCTACATCTCATATTTTCCAGAAGTAGACCAGGTTGTCAATGAAGAGCATGGTTCTTGAATCAGACAGTTGGGACAGATTCTAGGCCTCAATACCAAGCGGCTGGTGGCTTTTGCAGGTTATTTAACTGACCTCTGGGCCTGAGTTTCCTCAACTATAAAACAGGAATGACCACAGCAACAACACCTTAGTAGCTGTGAGAATTAAGAAACACATGAAACTTTTAGTGTAGAGCCTGGCACAGAAAAGTGTTGGTAATGCTGGCTGTGATTATTAATAACTTTAACATTACTGTAAATTGGCATCAGTTAAACATTCCCAAACATGAGGGCCTAATTACAGTAGACACACCTAGTAAAGCAAAAATAGCAATTTCATAATGCTAAAAAAGATGAAAAGTAAATTTTAACCTGTGGCTGAGCTGAAGAGCCCTCCTGTTCACTCACACAGAGCTACAGCCCTGTGTCAACCCTCCACGAACCTAGGAACTGGATAAGCATGGGCCTCCAGCCCCCAAAATCCTGTGTACCATTCCAACAGGCAACAAGAACAGAATCCCTCTTCCCTTCTCTCTCTCCCAGTTCTTTATGGTGGAAGGAAGATAATACAGGATTTCCTTTCACAGCATATTTTCCAGTAAACATTTCTTATCCCCGTAAGCAAAAACTAGTTTCCAGGAAGTCAGGGCCCTCAGTTCATTCACTCAACAAAACATTTACCAATGCTTACCATGTGCCAGGATTGGTGCTAGGCACTGCATATCAAAGAATGAATAGGATAGTCTCTCATGGAGCTGAAAGTCTAACAGGGGCAGCAGACCACATTTAAGTTAGCAGACCACCACCTGGGCTACATGCTATGAAGGACCTTGAAAGTCCATGTCTGACCCTTCCTTACCTGCCCCCCTTCCTCCTGACAAAGCCTGGAGCAATCACCAGGCCCTCAACTGGGGGTTCCTGGTAAGGAGAGCCCTGAGCTGCTCAAAGCAAGCAACCTAGAAATCAGTGTAGGCCAGTGTGCAGGCAGGATAGCCAGCCCAGAGGACACAGTAGAAAGCCCCAAAAAGGTAGAATTTTAAACACCAAATCAGTGAAACTGGACCAAGCTTCTCTCTACAACTCAGGAAAGTTTTCAAAAGACAAGTTACTAAATCTAATCACTGGAAAATCACTGGGGGAAAAAAAGTCTTTAATAAATAAGGACAGAATCTTAAAACTGAGCGTAATTGGGAAGAATTTAATAAACATGAATTAGTATCATGATAATACTATAAAATATAAACTGATATCTCTAAAACTTATAACTATGACTTAGAACAAAGACTATACTTGTTAAGGTTTCCTTTTAAGAAAGCTAAACATTTCATTAGCTGACACACTACGATACAGCATCTCCTCCAAGAATATGTAACATTGATATTTCTCATTTTACCAAAGACCTCATGGGAAGAGTTTGTGTTCATTTAAAATTATTTTGCCTACGGGGCCGGCCCGTGGCTCACTTGGGAGAGTGTGGTGCTAATAACACCAAAGCCACGGGTTCGGATCCCTGTATAGAGATGGCCGGTTGCTCACTTGGGAGAGCATGGTGCTGACAACACCAAGTCAAGGGTTAAGATCTCCTTACTGGTCATCTTTAAAAAAAAAAAAAAAATTATTTTGCCTAAAAATCAGCTAAGAGCATTTAATAATCCACTGAATGAGAACTAAGAACTGGTCTGCTGGGGCAATCAGGAGCGGGGACTTCGCACTTATCAGAGACAGGAAACTACATGTTCCAAACCTTCTTCCTCAGCAGAGTGAGGGACTCCTTAATTTTATCAACCAGGTCCTCACTCTTCCCATCAAATTTCAGTCCAAGTTTCCACTGCTTGATCCAGTTGTATTTGCTTATGAGTTTTTCTGGTAACTGGAATATCAAGAAACAGAGATAAATAGGTATTAACATTCCAAGAAATCCATTACACAATCCAAGCTGTAAGAAACTACGAAGCCTATAAAACCTACCTTTATTTCCAGAATTAATTCCTACGAATCTGTCATGTGGGTTTAGTGTGGAGGACCTAAATCTGGCAGTCAGGGACTTAGGAAGTATTACCCTACAGAGGGTTGCTAGAGTGAAATGGTATTTTTTGGTTGAGATACAAAGGTACAATCTACCCTGCAGGACTCTAACCACACCAGGGACATTCCACAGCAATTGTGAAGATAAGCTCAGGCAGTGTCCACACCGCGGCTTCACACAAGCCACCTTCAGCCTGCTGGGCTCCCTGGCAGCCTCCCTGGCACTACCTAATGCATGAGATTGATTCAGGAAGGCATGTGAGAAGGCTCAGGGCCAAGTCAAACCCTGCTCCTTTCCTGATTAGGAAAATAATTTCTAATTTTTTGTTAAGTAATCTAATAATCCAATTTCTGATTTTTTGTTAAATAATATCAACACACTCAAAGTTTTAATATTCAAAGAGAAACATTGTATTCAGTTTAACTGCCAAATCAATATAGTAAGATTAAAGAAAGATACAACTGAGAACAAGAGGCAGGGGTTAAGCTATGAAAGTGACAGCCTGAACCACATTGCTTGTTTCCTTTTTCTTCCCCTTGAGTAATTATTATTTTGTTTCCCTCTAATTATCAATGGAATCTGGAGTTTGAAACACAAGCTGAGACACAGCTTGATCAATGATACCATGGGAACCCTCCCAACAGTCCTGGGTGTATCAGGAGAAAAAGTTGGGCATAGGCATATCACTTCACTGCCACCAAATTTAGAAAAGAAAAACAGCCCATCTCCAAGTCAAAAGATTGTCCAATAATTAAATCCTACAACATCCTATGAGGAACCTGAACCTGTTTAACAGTTAGAAATACAGTTTTAAATGAGGCCATATGTTCAGTTCTTCTAGGATCTAAGACTCAAAAGACCCTTTCATGAATGGTAATCCCAGGTGTACCTGCTCGATATATAGCAATCAAGTGAAACTAAGGTGGTTTGCTCTCTACAAAAAAACAGAACCACAAGAGGAATGTAAATCACTCTTCACTGTTACCACAGTGATGGTGATCTATATCACTCACTAAGGGGAGGAGGGGTTATGTCCTCCTCATTTTATGATGATGACAAATGACCACCTACCTAAGAGCCACACCAGCCCAGCTCCGTGCCCACACTGTCCTGCATTTCAGCAACACTGGGCAGATCTGCCACAAGACACTCCAGTTGACCTCTCAGATTTATCACCAGAAGCAAACACGCCCTCAGGTGGCAACAAGCAGAAATTACAACCAAGCACAAAGAACTACAATGGAGAAAATAATAGCTAGAGATGTGAGCTGGGATTCGAAGTAAAGCGAAACCCAGAAGACATCTGAGCATCACGTGACATTGTACCATGATCTAAAAAGTGAGCATAATACTCAAATGAATCACTCTTTTTTTTTTTTCCCTTTTTGTCTTTTTTCGTGTCCGGCAACGGATTGCAACCCTCAGTGTCACGCCCGTACCGGATCGGGACGAGCAACGGGATCGCAACCCTCGGTGCTGCGCCCGCACCTTGCTCAGCCAGTGAGCGGGAACCAGTCTGTATGTGGGATCCGAACCCTCGGCGGGAGCGCCGCCACGCTCCCAAGTGGCGCACTGTAGCAGTGCGCCACCGGGCCGGCCCCTAAATGAATCACTCTTGAGACGTCAAAGATCTGACTACACAGAGGGAAACACAATAGTTAGTGTTCCCCCATTCCTCCTGCACATCGATCAAACCGTTGCTAAAGTAATTGTCCAGTTCAAGGTTGAATACCTCCAAGAGAGGAACCCTAGAAAAAATCCAAAAAATGAAGCATGAAAAAGAAACTATTAGGAAAGAACAACAGAGTTGGAATTACTTACTCAGAAGGAAAAAATTTAATGTAAGTTTAAATGCTTTCAGGGGTCCTAACTCATGGAACACATGTAAATAGCCACTCTTTTCTACTAAGCCCAGGGACTGGACTTACATTAGAATAAGGGAGATTCAAGCATGAAACAAGATTTAAACAAGAAACAATGACTGGAAATATTTAAGAATACAGTAGGTAATTAGCTTAGGTGCTATTTCATTGATGACTGAACTATAAAACAGCCCGTTTTCTCTACCACATGCCTGTAATTCTTAAATCATGACAGAGATAGCAAATAACAAACGTGTCATCCCCCAAACTAACTCACAAAAACAGCTTCCATATACCAGTCTATCTCACTCTAAGCAAACAATGTCACAGGTACCACCTGTTCAGACATTCTATAATTTAGTGAACTTATAAACCAAAGGACCCCTACACTCTAAAGGGTACCCCTCTCAGAGACCAAGGTGCTGTCCCAAGTTTAAGAATAGCCAGACCAAGCCATCTCCAAGGCTGGGATAAGGCTCAGATACTCCAACTGCTGTCAAACACAGAGACTGGGATCTGAACAGAAACAGGAATGACCAACAGGAAGCCCACGCAGAATGACAGGAGATGAGGGGGGTGGCCAAAGCGTCCGGAGGGGTAGCAAGGACAAAGCTCACCCTCACAGGCAGGGAACAGAGCAAAGCCAGAGAAAGTGGGCACCCACAGAAAGGAAGTGTGGGGTCTCTTCCACTGAGCCCAGATTAAGGGAGGGTCGCCCAGTCTAGCTCTCCTGTTTCCCTTTAATGTCCTGAAACCAAATGATGTTCTAGGAGAGGGAAGATGCAAAATGCTATGGAGAACATCTCTCAATCTGCAAATGGAAGCAGACACAGCTGGCTAGAAGTCCCACCCCTGACTTCTTGCAGTCACACTGTGACACACACTTACTTCCTTGGTCAATGAGGCCCTTGTCACAGTGGACCTTCCAAGGGAAGACTGGGCAGAGGGGCCAGAATGAGAACAAGGATGGAAAGGCACCCATAGGAAGGTCCAAGAGATGATGGGGAGGAGATTAAAAAGCAGTCTGGTCAAGCACAACCAGAGACGTGTGCATACCCTTTCCTCCTCCACTGGCACCTGAAATTCCACGCACGTGCTGCATCTGTGACCCAATCAAGCCTCAGAGGGGCCACGACAAAACAGACTGTGTAAATAAAGTGTTCAAACCGTGTCAAATTGCTGGGGGCTGGGACAGCAACATGAAGAAAAGTCCTCTGGTGGGGTAAGAGCAAGGAAAGAAAGTCATTACTTCAGCTGACAGCAGAATCAAAGTTTATCAATGTAAATTTTAAACTCACAGGCAGGTACAATGTGCTTTTGATACAAGCCTCTTAACATTCAATAAAGGTTGGATGATAAAAATACCGTTATGTCCAATTAATTAGACTGTGCTCCCAAGAGAAAAATATACTGGCTGATACACATAGAAAAGGGAAGAGATCGGAAAGAGCAAATGAAAATTTAAAAACTATTTTCACATTACTCAAATTAAGTCATGAAAACCACCTTAAAACCCCATCACTCACACATGCAACATGTTCTAATACTGATCAGAGACCAAATGCAATCTACTTGGACATGTTTAATGTAGCAGATGATGTTATCTAAATGTATCCTATTAGTAAGAGAAAAGGGACATTGTGCTGTACTTTTTTTAAGGCATATTTTATATATTTAATTACTTAGGATGCTATGAGCACCAGAGTTTCTCAGAAAGTATAAAAATTCAAATTCAATGTCAATAAAGTCCATAATCTAAATAGTCCCTTAAAGTTAAAGGCTCAAAAGGAAAACTGAGCCAAAATTAGGCTAAGTTAGGAGGACTTTATGTCACAATCGATAAATTAGCTACGGTTGTCAAGCACAGAAGTTAAAACAGAACAAAATAAAAACAGAGAAATGACTGTTTGTTTCTCTAGTAGTCTTACATCCATCCACAGGCAAGCTTTTGCCAACTGACCAACAATTCTGAAATACTGTACTACTAATAAATGTCATTACTTGCAAAGGAAAAAACAGCCTAGTGTATCAATTTCTTTTGCTTCTATGTCAAAGAATAAGCTAATACAAAAAAATCTGCTTAAGATGACATACATCTTTACTTAGAAGCAAATATCTTTCCCAGATGTCATTTTGTCAGTTTATAAAGCTACACTGATTTTACAATGGTTTATAAAATAAATAATGGTGGAACAGACAGGTGATATCATCCACTCACCTGGCCTGGTTTTTCCCTTTGGAGCCATGTGACCCTTCATCCACCTGAAAGACTTCTAAACTAGCTTAGCCAGAAACAAGTTTCCTCTAAAAGTCTTCTTCACTCTAGACAAACTCCCCAGCTCCTTCAACTGCTCCCAAAATGAGATCAATCACCTTGGTCACACCCCATATGCCACTGAGGACACAGCCCGGAGCTCAATTCAGCCCTCAAGATGGGCTCTGACCACCCCAGTTCAAGGTGGAGCTTCGCTGCCTGATTCTTAGAAGCATTCCTTTTACAGAAAAGCCAGAGCTTCTACTCATTGCTGTCATCACTTTTCATGCGGGGTCATAGTGGGCCTGCAGTCGATTGAAATCCTTTCAAAAATTACTATTAGGCAGCTCTCCCACTGGTAGCACTTCTGGGTTTTGTTTTGGTTTTTTATTTAAGTATGGGATTTTCAATTTTCTTCCAATTAATGTCACATGGTAAGTTCTGACCAATCATTCCTGCCTACCAAAATCTTCTGGGATATTCACTATTTTATCATCCAATGAATTACATAAACTTAACTGTGTCAGGACACATGCACACAAGATTACCAGGGTATCTCTACCATGTGGTAGATTTAAAACAATATAGAGGACCAGGCCTTACCCTCACCTTTCCAGCAAGCCTCTCTCCACGTGACATTAATCATCTCTCTTCCAGTAATCCAGCTACCCAGCCTCCTACTAGACCAACCCTCACCATTATGTGGAGCATACTAATTTCTTGAATTGCAGCTAGAACTAAAGAAATGTGTATTATTAAACCCCAGCAGGCTCTCAAATAGTAAAATACAAGCCCACTTAATATAAACACCACAACTGAAATCAAACTGTTCCTGAGTGTTTTTTATAAACTCTAAACATCTGCTCTCTAATTCAACTACACTGTTTGAATAAGTTTTATTTTTTCTCTTCTGGGAAATACCAATTACTTTTGGTCACTTTACTATGTGACATCATCCCAACCACACAACACTGAATAAACCCATAAGCTGACATCAGACTGAAGACACACCAGCAGGTAGCATGGGCAGAAAAGGGAAGTCTTCTCACAAAAATGATTTGAAACATTGCGAAATCAAACCTGCAGCAGCAGCGTACCAGCGTGAGCTCTGGGTCCTGCAGCCAGGCAGGCAGCTCTGCAGGCTGGCTCATTGCCTGGAACAGCGTAGCCCTCAGTGCACAGTAATTGTCACCGCGGACTCGCCTTATAGAGGTGAACTTCTGAGAAACCTCCTCGTAGCCCTGAAAGAAAGTATCAAAGAATTCAAAATGGTCACTTCTGACTTCAGACAGCAGGGAGAATATCATACCTGTGGAAAAAATTCACCTCAGGTGGCTGGAAAAATAAAAAGACTGGCTGAGTCCCTCCTGTAAGACATTCAAATTCCTTTTTATTAATCAAAAGAAGTTAAAACAGGGCCGGCCCCATGGTGCACTCGGGAGAGTGCAGCGCTGGGAGCGCAGCGCCGCTCCCGCCACGGGTTCGGATCCTATATAGGGATGGCCGGTGCGCTCCCTGGTTGAGTGCCAGTCATGAAAAAGACAAAAAAAAAAAAAGAAGTTAAAACAGGGCCGGCCCCATGGTGCACTCGGGAGAGTGCAGCGCTGGGAGCGCAGCGCCGCTCCCGCCACGGGTTCGGATCCTATATAGGGATGGCCGGTGCGCTCACTGGCTGAGTGCCAGTCACGAAAAAGACAAAAAAAAAAAAAGAAGTTAAAACAAATATTAGTATGGATTAATAAATGTGAGTATATATGTTAGCACAAAATATCAGCATATGTAACAGATGCAACAGGCTGGACATAAAAAATGATAACCAAGTGTTAAAGCACTTGCCACCCCCTCAGTTGGAGTTACATGTCCCTTTCTAAGCAACTGCTGTAACACTCACTACTCACTGATAACCAACATTTTGAAAGGTTTAATCTAGTTAAAATTGAGCATCAACTCTTTAATGGAGAAACAGGAAAAAAGAGGTATATGCTAAGTTTTTAAGTCCATATTAAAAAAATACTAAAAAATCCCAAGTTCCCAAGGGGTATGTGTGGTGTATGTAAAAGTCTACATGCTAGGGGCCGGCCCGGTGGCGCACTGCTACAGTGCGCTGCTTGGGAGCGCGGTGGCGCTCCCGCCGAGGGTTCGGATCCCACATACAGACCGGCCGCTCACTGGCTGAGCGAGGTGCGGGCACAACACCGAGGGTTGTGATCCTGTTGCTGGTCCCGGTCTGGTACGGGCGCGACACTGAGGGTTGCGATCCGTAGCCGGTCCCGGTCCGGTACGGGCGCGACACTGAGGGTTGCGATCCGTTGCCGGTCACGAAAAAAAAAGACAAAAAGGAAAAAAAAAAAAAAAGTCTACATGCTAGGATACGTCTGGATAATTCTGTTAGACTTTTTTTTAAAAAGTAGATTGAAGTGTCACTTTTGCTCAGTCTGGAAGTAAAAAGAGGAAATGAAAATGTTCAGTGACATGCTTGGTCACTCAAAAACAGCCATCCAAATGTACCATTTTGAACATACCCCAAAAAAGGACACCATAAAATCCTAGTGACTCCAGCCCACAGGCATGCGTGATGCTCTGACTTCTCCAGCTGGACACTGCTCAGTCATTGGGACTGACATCACTGCCACCAATCTCACTGGTCCCCGATCCAGTCACCCCTTTCACTCGTCCCACTCTTCCTTGACTATTGCTCAAAACCCTACTTCCTACCCTGCATTTACACAAAGAAAGGAGTATCACCCTCCTCAGGGAGTGGGCACAATGCATCCTGTGTGTCCCAGTACTGGCACATCATTACTAGTTGTTTTTAAGCCCCAAATCATCATAAGACAATGTTCTAAGTGAGTATGAAAGTACTTAAAATTTTAAGAGTCAAATTTGTAGTTAGAGGTCCCATCACTGCAACATCTAAGGGCCCAACAGGCAGAATCACACCTGCTAACATGCACCTCTTCCTCATGGTAGACTTCTAATTACCCCAGGAATACTCACAATGGTGAATTCAACTGCACCTTTCCTAATCCATAAATCACTCATGCCATTTTAGAGATGAATCAAACTTTTAAAATTAAATTTCAATTTATACACACTTACTCCCAAAAGAATATCTAAAATAAAAATAGACAATTGGGCAAATAAGGACTAAAATAGAACTGAGATCAAAGCTGTTATCAGGCACCTCAGATGCTCTGATTACTGCCATGGGTCCTGATGAGACCCTTTTCTAACTGGTGTGCCTTTCACTATGTGATCACTGAAAGAGTCCAACTGCAGCATCAAATCTTCCTTTCCCTGGAACAAAACCGATACAAAATTGATTTTAGCTAGATTTCCGAAGTATGGAATATTTAAATAACTCAGACATCTTCAATGGTGGACTAATTTAAGATGCCAACTACTAGAACAGGTCCTTTGAAGAGACCGAAGTCATAAAATAAAATTACAAGTCAGTGAAAGCATTTCTGAGGAAGATACGAAAACATAGTTTAGATACCTGGCTCTCTGGTTATCTATTTTGATACAAGGCTGGAGGTCGGAAAATCTACAAGTGGCCAATGGCATATTCAGCAGATGGCCTCACAAATACAAATGTTCTTAACCTCTGGCTGGAACTGAGAGTCCCAGGTATTTCATGATTGAGTTCTCCAGCAAGTGCCTAAAACACAAAGAGTTTACATACCAGAGCTGACATCTGCTCTCAGAGCTCTGTTAATGGCAGCTTACATTTTTACTAAGGTCAGCTCTGGGCAGTTGAAGTGCATGCTGAAAGATGAGCAATATTTTCTACAAAAGCAAGCTCCGAGGACAATACATGTCTTCAAATATCTCTAATACATAAGAAGTGCATTCAAACTCATAATGTAAATAATCCCAAGAGAAAAATGAGCAAAAGATATAACACAGTTTACAAGATGTGGTGGAAGTCTTAGGTTGAAATCGCCATTTTTGTAGATCAAAAATGGTTAAGTAGTAGCAATTTCACATGATTGAACCCACTGATAAGGAATACTGGATTTGGGATACATTCTGTGGGTAGAGCCACAGTCTGCTGCTCTATTCAGCTGTGTAGTATAAGTTGCCAAGGTGTCGACGCTGAGCAAGTAATCAGCCCAAACAGCCACAGCAGAACCACATCATGAGAGTCCCCAATATCATCCCACAGCCTTGGAGACAACCTTAGGGTTGCCAATCTATGCAATGGGACTTGGAGGGGGCAGCTCCTGGGATGCCCTAAAAGGAGCAATTCCAGATTCCTCTTCTAGGGAATGCAGGAGGGTTCTAGGCCCATGGGACTTAGAGGGCATGTATCCAAACCCAGGTGGTATGGAGAGCAGGGGTGTGGAATCAGCCCTTCTATATCCTGATGTTTTTATAACACCAGGCCAAGGAGGGCATTCCCAAAGGACCCCAAGAGGACAACCAATGGCTGGCCCAACTCTAAACACTGCAGTCACTTACATGTTTTTCCAAAGAAACTAAGTTACTGAATAACTAATGCTGATTCAATATTAATACTGTGACTCTAGCCAAGTCCCTTATCTTTGGAGTCTCTTTTCTTCGTCTCTAAAATTAGAACACCAATATTTACAACATCTAATCTACAGCAGTTGTCTTAACTAATGTCTAAAAATATAAAATGACATATTAAATAACTAATAATAGACTATTTGAAAGACCTGAAATATGTGCACCTCTGTGTCATACCTTTTTCATACATGTTGCTTTTTGCGTATTTCCCCTCCATTCTTTTTTGCAGTAGTCCATGATATCCATTTCAGGAGCCACACTTAATCTGAGTTCTGTTAAAGAATTTTTTAAAAATATTTTTTTAATTTAATTTAAAAAGCAAATAGTGAATCAAAGCATAATTAGAATTACAATATGTTACTTGGGAGTCATCCTTCACTCCTTACTTTCTCTCGCCATTTCAATAACCTCACAATTCCACCACTGCCTACCCCACTGATCCACCATCACCTTACCCCTGGATAACCATGGGGGTCACCAGAGGGTCTCCCTTGTCACCATACCCTTCAGGCTGTTCTCAGCACGGTAGCTGGCCAGGGTGATACATCTAAAACATGAGTCAGATGCTAGCCATCACTCCTAGGCTCAGAGAGCTCCAGGGCCTTCCCGTCTCACCTGCAGTGAAACCCATGTCCTTACTACCCACAAGGTCTCCTTCACTAGCCCCCCACTGCCCCTCTGGCCTCAGCTCCCAACACTCTCCACACTGAATCTGCCCTAGCCCCACCTGCAGCCTCTCGCGATACTCTCCAACACACCTGGCTCACTCTTCTCAGATACCTGGAGGGCTGCTCCCTCATTCCACACAGGCGTCTCTGCTCCAATGCCACCTGATGCCCCTACTTCATATTATTTTACATATATCTATGCTCTCTATATTCCTCTTATATTATTTTGTTTCTCTTCTTAGTGCTTATCAACACCTGCCATATTTCTTTTTCTGTATCCTACATACAGAAACATAGTAAAATATGAGCTCCTTGAAGGCAGGGACTTTATCCTGTTTCTCAGCTATGTCTTCAGTACCTGGAACTGCACTGAAACATGGGTGTCCATGAATACTTTTCTAATCAAATTACAGACATACTGGTCTGAACTGTGAGAAAATACTTCTTACGATTTGTAATTAAGTTCTTGCATCCATTATTCAAAGAGATAACACCAACTATAACAAAAATTACATTTAATTGTCTTTATTTATATTCTGCCCTGATCCCAAAAGGCTATTGTCAATATTATACTAGAAACTAACAGAGCTCTCAATGTTAGTTGATCAACGGACTTTATTTGACTCTAATAACACAACCCCAAAAACTAAAAAATACAACTCACGATCAGACAAATGTATACTAAAAAATGGCCTTTAGAGTTTCCCTGTTTAACATATGAGGTTTGTGGTTTGATTTTGTGGTATACACATATGCACGCACATGCATATGTCAGTGTGGGTGTTTTAGGAAGAAAATGAGGTAAATTCTCAGGCACGTCTTGACTTCCCTTTTAAATTACTGAAGACAGATGTTAGCCATGATATTAGGATGTAAACACAGAAGTACCTTACAACGTATTTTTACCCCTGAGGAAGTTGTACACAAAATAAAAATGTTTTATTCAACTCAATTCAAGAAATATTTATTGTCTAATACATAGGTGGCAGGCGCTGAGCTAGGACCTGGGGTACACAGGCAATAAAGACCAGACGCTGGCCCGGAGGGGCTTACAGACTGCTGAAGGAGGAGGACAGCAGGTGCCAGGATGCTCCAGGAGCACAAAGGAAGAGGCCCTAAACTCTCCTGGCAGTTTAGGCAAATCAAATCTTTTTTCTTTTTTTTTTTAAACTAAACTATAAGAACTGTCTATTTTAAAAAATCTCATTGTGTGTCCTTTTAAAGAAAAACAACCTTCCGCCTAAAAAGGAAGATAATATATATACAGACAATATAGATACATTTATCTGTGGTACACATCACGATTAGCTTAAAAGTGAAACAGACCTCTGAGGTGTAATATACAGAGATCGTAAATCCCAATGCTGCACAGCCCATCCTTGAATAAAGACCCTTCATCGTTTACGATCAGGAAATGTCCGAGTGTCTACTCAGCGGAGGGAAGTGTCCCCTGCATCTGCCTTTCCACTCACCCGCCCGCAGCAGAAAGAACTGCTAATGTGTGCAGCTGGGACACTGGCTGGGCCATGCTTCCCCCAGGCAGGGTTGTGAGCCTGATCACAAAGCATGCGTCCAGCTCAGGAAGGGCTCCTTGGAAGAAAGTCCACCCTCCCGCTCTCGTTGCTGCAGTCCTCAGTCCTGCACACACCAAGACATGACCTGGCCCCCTGGGGACAAGGCAGGCTCACCACCTTAGAACTCAGGAGAGCAGGCACAGGGCCTCACACAGGCCAAGAGGCCAAGCCATGGGCCACAGTCCTGTGCTGAATCAGAGGCCTGCGAAGCACAGTGAGGGTTAGGGAAATGGGGGACCTGGCACAGCTGGCAGCATCAAAATGATACTTGAACTCCCACTGTGCTACGGTTCTTTGGGAGAAGAACTCCAATGGCTACTACATGTCACACGCAAGGCTAGGAGCTGAGGTACAGGACAAGACAGTGCCTGACCTCAAGCGGCTTGTGGAACACAACAGTTCCTTTTTTAATTGCAAACTAAATAGACTCTGATTGCTGTTTTCAAGAAAGAACATTTCTAATGGTCCCCCAAAAAGGTGGGGGAGGGGGTTGAAAACCAGAGTGGTAAGCAGGAGCTGAAATAATCCACAGGTCTGATCCTTAACCACCACATGGAGACAAAGAAGGAGGTAGGAAGTTATAACTGAAGCTTTTCCAAAAAGCTGGGACTCTCAAACAAACAGGGTAGACTGGGACAGGAATCTCAAACTTCTTTTGTAATGGGCCAGATAGGAAACAATTTAGGCTTTAGGGCCATAAGGTTTCTGTCAAAACTACTCAGCTTTACCATGCATAAAAGCCACCACAGACAGTATGTAAACTAATAAGTTCCAGTAAAACATATTTATAAAACCTGGTGGCTGGTCAGGTATGACCTGGGAACCATAGTTTGCTGACCCCAGATTTTTTTACCAACAAAGAGAGGGGATAAGAAAACTTTCTGCCTCTGTCTGGGCTCTGCTTCAGGGGAGGGTGCACTTCCAAAGGGTGTTATTTCAGGAAGGGCAATGAGCCCAAAGGGACTGAGGTGCAAGGAGCAGTGCAGAGGGATCCATTTTACTCTCATACTAAAGCTGCAAGTTACAAGACCCACTGAAAAGCCAGAATACCCATGTGCAGTGCAATGCCAGGCAGAAGAGCCACACAGCAGACAGCCTGCAGAGGGAAAGAGAAAACAAGGTCCCTCAGCAGGAACAATGCTGGATACACACTCTCCTCTTAGGAAGATGACTAATAAGGATTCTGCGTCCTAAGCAAATTCTGAGCAACCACAGAGGTAAAGAACAAGCATCATCTAAAGCTTTATGGAGGACAGGATCAATGTGGCCCAGAAACACACCAGGACCACGACAGAGACCATCTCTCCTCTGGATCTCAAAGAGCTCACCAGCTCTTATAAGGAAGACTCAGGAATTATCATCAAAAACCCCACTATGTATTGTTTGTTCCTAACTACACTTATGAAAATGCTTTCGTTAATAACAAAGTAAACAGAAGACAGTTCTCAAAACACACTAGTAGATTACACACATTACATAGATAATGAGAGAGAAAAGGCCAGTTGTATATTATCTATGGTGTGTCCCCAAATTGGAGTCTCCCCACTCGCTCCTGCCTGAGGCCAGCAGAGGAAGTAAGGATGTACTTCTCCAGAGACCAGTGAGGGGGCCATGAGTAACACCTCGCCCCAGCAGTGATGGTCCTGGCGGGGGTGAGAAGAGCAGGCATGACAGAGGAGAAACATGGACATGAAATCATGAAACAATGATGACAATAAGAGCTATGGATTCCATGATCATTCTTTTTCATTAGTCAATCAGATTCACATGCATCTGCATGCAAAGATGTGTACAGCCAGCTTCTCAATAAGTGCTTCAATTTCAAATGAAAAACTCACTTCAAATCTGAACTCTCTCTCTAAAAGTATAAGGAAATCATGAACCGAGAGAGGATAGTGTCAAGAGATTAAATAAAACAATCATCATAGGTGCAAAAACTATACGAATGTAAAGAATGCAGAGAAAATACTTGCATTAACATTTTAAAGCCTCAGGAAACAGTCTTCTCTAAACATACTACAGCAAAACAAATAATCAATGTAGACAAGACTATATGTGTAAGAATATTGCCTGGGAAGTACATGTTGATATGTTATGAAAATGGATATACCAATTTAACTGCATTTTCTATTGTAAATAAAGAACTCTATAAATAAGACAATTCCAAACATACCTGATGCCACTCTTTCATGTATAAGCAATTCTTTCTCCTTTTCTATTTCATCTGCAGCACGGTACATGTCCTCCTCACTGAAATCACACCAAAGTAGACATTTTCAAATACTTGTTACTGACATTTTCTGTCATATCACAATTCATAGCTGCTTACAAAATGTGTAAGACACTAAAAGTTTAACTTTTTTCACATTACATGGTGACAATCTGATAAAATACAGGTCTTTTAGATGCTCATGTTTCCATCTCACCACTTTCTTCCACTTCAAAATTTCTTACTTTAAATGAGACAATTTACACCACTGCATTTGATAATGCTTTGAGGTCATTTTAATTGTAAGACCCATTAATGCCTCCACTGTATACCTAGACATCCTAGCATGTGTCTTATCAGTAAAGCTCCTGAAATGACTCTGTCAATTCTCAAATACAGACAGTGCTAATAAAAGTCCTTCTATAGGAATGCAAGCCAATTGCTGACCTTTACAACATGTCACAAGCAAATATAACAATAGCTGCTCTAAAAACAAGCACAGGAGAGCAATAATTATAAGTCCCCAAAGCTAAAACTCCTCCCCAAGGCTCCTGCTGCTCCCTGACTCCCACATTCAACCAGCCACCCAGGTTCTGTTGAGTATATCCCCACTGTCCCACATACCTCAATGGCTACCACCACTACTGCTGACTTCTTACTCATATAACAGCTTCCTAAAGAAAATGTACCCTCTAGCGAACTAACAAGAACCTAGGCAGTAGACAAAGATAAAGAACAGAATTTCTGGTCTGAAGATGCCCCTTTTTCCCCTCAAGATTCACCCCAAAATGACAATGAAGGGAAACAGAAACACCAACTCTATCTCTGATACCAGAAGATATGAAAGCCTAAACAGTTAGAAAGCAGATGGAGTGGTAAATGGAGCAGGACAGGGAAGCCCAAGGCTGGTGGACGGGCATCTGCAGAAGGCAAGCCAGTAAACCCGGCAGAACCCCAGAAAGGCTCAGGAATTGGAGTTACCGAGTCCTTCAGAGGGTACTGGTAACACACTGAGCTGAAGACAAAGGAGGCCAGCTGACGTTCACATAAGGAGCCATCAGACCCCCAATTCCCTATACTCCCTCCCCTGACAGCACACGAGTTACCGAGTCCTTCAGAGGGTACTGGTAACACACTGAGCTGAAGACAAAGGAGGCCAGTTGACGTTCACATAAGGAGCCATCAGACCCCCAATTCCCTATACTCCCTCCCCTGACAGCACACCCCATCCTCACACATGGCAGGAGGCTCCAGACACAGTGGAACACAGGAAGGAGGAGGTTCCAGGCTAAAAAAAAATACAGAATTAAGTGAATGACTGAGATACCCCACCTCCCCTGACCACCCAGTTCCTAGCACATGGCCTAGTATGGCCAGGGGAAAGAGGAAGGGGTCAGAGGGCTTAGATGAAGAAGGGGTGCTGGGAGAGGCAGACTGAGGTGGGGAGTCTAACATGCCCACCACTGAAAACTTTTGATGTTTCCCAAGCACTCCCAGAACAAATGTGGACCTCACCCACCACTCTAGCCTGTACTCCATTATTTCCCCACGCACTACTCATGCTTCGGTCCAAACACTTGACCAACTCTACCCTGAACTTTCACACCTGGGATTCGGTCCAAGTGGTTCCTGCTTCCTGAATGGTTCATAACTCCCGACCTGCCTCCTGCCTAACACATCCTGATGCCTGCTGTGCAGGTCAGCCCTATGCAGAGTGCGATGGTTAGAGTGGGGACCTGGGAGTTAGACCGTCAGGGTTTAACCAGTCCTCGCTCCAGCCCTTATTCACTGTGTATGACCGTGACTAGAGTAACTACACCTCTTGGCATCTCAGGTTAAACACCTGTAAAAAGGACAGAGAGTATTCACCTCAAAGGGCAAGTGTGAGAAATAAACACATGTAAAATAATTAGCACTAAAAAAAGTTAGCTATTCTTACTAATTCTCATTCTATAGCCATTAGGACAGAGTATTAGTAAACAATTTGCCAATGATCATTTCTTATTCCTTTTTTTTTCCCTTCTCTAAAATAAATGTGTAAGCATGTGTGTGTTTAATGTTGTGGGGTGAGGGAACAAATATTAGGGAAAAGGTACTTTTCATGTGCTCCGACTCCATGAGATTTCAAGTAAAAGGTGTGATGTCACCCAGGGAGTCCGTGCCACAGTCAAAAGCAAGCAAACAGTAACCTGAGGAAAAGGTACTTTTCATGTGCTCCGACTCCATGAGATTTCAAGTGAAAGGTGTGATGTCACCCAGGGAGTCCGTGCCACAGTCAAAAGCAAGCAAACAGTAACCTGATTCACAGAAACCATACATCAAAGACCTAAAATAAAAAGTGACCAAATATGTCCATTCTCTCGCTAAGTTAATGACATCTTCCAGCCTCCTTCCTAGCTTTATCAAATAAGAGAGAAATTCTTATCCGTTAAAACAGTAATCAGAGTGAGTCACTTTCATAACATCATTATCAGACGTATACCTTTGGGCAAGCCACTTCCCCAATCTTGGCATCTGTTTTCTGACTTCAAAATGAGAAGACTGGATGAGATCTATACGATCTACATGGTTCCTCTTCCAGTTCTTAGTTCTAACAGTCTACAAATATATTTGTTAAAAATTACACTTCAAGAGAATTCTGAGACTATCCTGCATGCACATTTGGCTCCACTTTTGTCCTCTTCCTTTCTAATCTATGAAATAACCAAAAAGCAATCTCAAAACTATTACCCAGAGGAGGTTCTCTAAATAAGCATCTCTGTACAGCCACAAATACAAATTCCTACGAAGGCCAACAGGAAGGGAATGAAAAGAAACAAACCGCAGAACAAACAGGAGAACTCAATGCAAAGGGAAGACAAACAGAAAGTGAGATGATTGGAAAAAAACAGCAGTGACTCGGGATACACAGAAGAAGCAAAGCAGAAGCAGATGAATAAGAAACCCAGAGCATATTCAGATTACTTTGGTCACCCCAGATTTCACTCGGATGCTGCACACAAATATTTGCTAACTTCCATGACCTCCAAAGGACACACGAAAATCATAATACGGCCCTTATTAAAGACTACCCTTAAAAATGATCCTAAAGCTGTATTTCCTTGGAGAAAGGATAAGTTTTAAATATACATAATGAAGCTCAATCAGTGTAGTCGGAAAGGAAGACTTTTAACAGCCAGAATGAAATATTCATCTATCTAATATAAGAATGATCAGGGCCCAGCCCGTGGCGCACTCGGGAGAGTGCAGCGCTTGGGAGCACAGCAGAGCTCCCGCCGCGGGTTCAGATCCTATATAGGGATGGCCGTGCACTGTGCACTCACTGGCTGAGCGCGGTGCGGCCGGTCTCAAAAAGGACAAAAAAAAAAAGAATGATCAAGCAGGAAGGAAGGAAAGAAGGGAGAAAGGGAGGGATGGGCAAGAAAAATAAAAACAATTTTATTTTAAAAATACTTCACTTGAACTTTTGCTTTAATTTTTAAAAGTATCAAAATATTAAAGCTGGGCTTGGCTGGTTAGCTCAGTTAGTCGGAGCACAGCGTTGATAATACCAAGGTCAAGGCTTCGGATCCCCACACCAGCTGGCCATTAAAAAAAGCTGAGGGCCGACCAGTTGGCTTACTTGGGAGAGTGTGGTGCTGGTAACACCAAGGTCATGGGTTCAGATCCCCATAACCGGCCAGCCCCCCAAAGAATAAATATACATATATAAAAGTTTAAAATAATCACAAGATGAAATGATATTTAAAGCTGGGAATCTGAAATCGGTAAAGGTTTGGTTTGAATTTTTGTTATGGGAAGGGAAGATAAAGAAACAATGAAAGGAAAAGGGCTATTACAAGATAAAATCATCAATGCTGAACAGTTCCAGAAATTTGGCAACCTTTCTGTGGGTGTCAAGTTCGGGTGAGGGTGGTGAGGTGTTCACTCTTGCACACAAAAGAGGCCACTGAAGCCCACAGATTCAGATGATCACCAGAGCAAAAAGTTCTCTTTTAGAAAACATAAAAATAGCTAGAAAAGTGGAAAAGAAAGGTAATACAAAGTCTTAAGTGACCTGATTTCCTAGCATGCAAGTCACACTCAATTACGTTGAGTTAAATTTTAAAACCAGAATGCTAATAATTCCTAGATAGAAAATTCTTAGTTTGGGGGGAGAGGGAGGAGGGAGGGAGGTTTCGGTGATGGGACATAATAATCAACTACATTGTATATTGACAAAATAAAAATAATAAAAAAAAAAAGAAAAGAAAATTCTTAGTTTAACATCATGACATTAAAGTGTGTATTTTCGAGTTCCCATTAAAGAGTACTTACCCATTTTCTCTTAAGCTGGAGATGAAATATTTTATTCTTAATATTAAGGTAACCTACCAAATTGAGTAAGCCACATGACACTGCATGCTAAGATAACTCTTGCTCTGTTCAAGACCTGCATACTAACAAATTTTCAAAAACATTTAAAAAATACTCACTATATAGAGACAAAATTACACTATTCCCCACAAAAGCTGTAAGTTAAAAGCAGAACTCAGTGAAGCAGAAGACATTTCTGTAAAGTCACTTTTTCAATCTCTGATTCAAGCAAACACGTAACATGAAAAAAATCAATTCTAATTTATATGCAAAGCTTACAAGACAGCATTAAAATCACTCACCATTACGAACCTTTGCACCGAATTACCCTTAGATGTCTAAAAGAACTAAGTATGGCTTTCTTCAGCTCTCTGGACTTGAGTCCTGCAGTGCATGCTTAACTTGGTCGGTCCTATAAGACTAATGGCTCAGGCAGTGTTGGTAAGACAGTGTCAACCAGTGTGACACCAACGCACCTTCCCACACAGGCACAGGAAAAGCAAAGACCCCTCAACCCAGCCTTTCTCCACGGCTTGGCAGTTGCAGAGATGGGTGAACAACACATCAAAAGCAGGAAAGTACCGGCACCCAGGCCAAAATTCTACCCCCCTTCTGCAAGTGGACTTTCCATGACTGGCTCATGCTACTCTATGTGACTTCCAGAGGTACCTGGGCGACTACGCAGTAACCCTCAATACTGAGGTTTGATTCTTAGAGACACCCTAGCTCTGGACCCTGAAGCAGGCTTTTCATGGGTTGGAGAAAGTGGTGGGAGGGAGCCACTCTCACTCCATCCACACAACTTATCCCCACCCCACACTCCAGCAGCTCCTGGGGTAGGGTAGGGCAGAAAACACATCACACAATAGTATGCTTAGCAAAACCCAACAACAATGGTTTAACACTTTTTTTCTGTTCAGAATCCTTTTGAGAATCCACAGCTTTTACCAGAGCTTCGGCCTTTCTTCTAAACATACAAAAATTTTGCCTTCAATTTCAATGGGGTTCACAAATGATGTGCCCTCATATGCAGCCAGCCCATGGACCTGAGATTCTGTCCCTCCCTCAGATAGACAGAGAAGGGCAATGGAGTAGTCTCTCTTCTCAACTCCCTAAGCATTTCCAGCCTGACCACCAACCATGTCCCAGGGCTGTCTCAGTCCTCAAAGAACACAGTATGGATTAACTTAGCTAAGGACAAGCAGACAGCAGGAGTCACATGTTGGGGGTGGGGTGGGGTGAGCAGGGGATAGAGCACAGCCGACCTGCTGGCAGAAGCAGCAAGGGAGCTTCAAGAGAGTCAACTAATCTGGTGACATAAGACTTCTTCAAATGGGACCCTAAGTTATCTTGGGAGCCATCTTTAGGGCTTGTCCAGGAGAAGCTAGCCAACCTCAGCTCTCAGATGAGCTGATTACAAAAAAAAAAAAAAAAGAAAAAAAGAAAAATTGCAATGAACTTTAGAAAGTACTTTATCCATGTGGTTTATATGTCTCTTCCCACTTCTCTCCTTGTGAAATGTGGTGTGCCTAGCACAAAGGAATCATGGTGATCTACTGTGCTGCCTCGGAAACAGGCCATCCTTTCTTCTACCCATCACCACAGCCTTCAAAGAGTCACATCCCAAATGCAATAATTCAGCTGCAGAAGCTGGGCTATGATTTGTATTCAAAACTACTGCCCACTAAATATATTAAAAATGACTCCATGGGGTATCTCAAAACATTTGCAATCATGGCATTCCATATTTCCAGGTGCAAATTTTTTTTTTTTTTTGTCTTTTTCGTGACCGGTAAGGGGATCACAACCCTTGGTGTGGTGTCGCCCGCACCACGCTCAGCCAGTGAGCGCACTGGCCATTCCTATATAGGATCCGAACCCGCGGCGGGAGCGTCACTGCGCTCCCAGCGCCGCACTCTCCCGAGTGCGCCACGGGGTCGGCTCAGTTGCAAATATTTTAAATGATTCCTGTGCATAGCAAACCCAAATTATCTGGATGGAAAGAAAGACCTTGGCTCAATGACAAAAAAAGAGAGAGATTGAAAAATGGCATCACACTATTTAAATTTACTCTCAACTGTTAAGCTGCATATATCAGGTAGGAATTGAAGTGCATACATTATATTGCAAATTATGTATTTTTCTGATACTTGCAGTAGTTTCTCCAGCCCATGAGAAAACATCACAAAGAGAAATCGCCCCACTACCCATATACTGATTCAGAAAGATGGAAATAGACTAGAAAGCACAAAACTTAAGATACAATGTTCAAAAGTTGACATCTGAAAGTTATACTCACCTCCCTTTATTTTCCCCATCATATGAGACTTAAAGTGGAACAGATAATCAAAGGCAACAAAAGGAGGGAGAAAAAGAAACTAAGCTGCTAAATAAACCACAAACTGGAACATCTACTCCAGGAGAAAAAAAAAAAAAAAACCTGAAGCTTGGCTGTCATTATAAATCATGTCCCTCTGCCTTTGCTGAGAACAACAGGAAGAGGTGGGGGAAGGCTCCCACCAAAGCATAAGGGAAGGTGGACCTGAAACCCTATGTGTCTCCCTGGCCTAGCTGCACCTAAGGAATCCGCAACTGTTTCCTAACCTGTAAAATGACAAACCTATGCTAGGCTTTTAAGATTCCTTACAGCTCTAAGTCTCTAATTCTACTGACAGTAGACAGAAGAGGCACCTATGCCACAACAGCTTTTCCTCAAGAAAGATCATTCCTTCCCACCTTGGTCCACTTCCCCAGGTGCTGAGACTTTGAGAACTACATCCACCAGAAAACTTGCCAAATAATTATGTGTACATTTGGAAACGTGGTTCTGGCAGCAAAGTTTCTTCATCTCTCAGGTGGCAGAAACTGCTCAGACTGAGGTGCAGCAAGTGAGAGGAAGAGCATCTAAGTGGGGGAACAGTTCTCACCACCAGGGCAGGGGCAAGGCAGAAAAGGAACCAGCATGAGCCCACAGAGCGGCAGAGGCAAGAGATCCCCTACATAACCCTCTACAGAATCTCAGATAGGTCTTGAACCGAGAAAGCAAACTGGCAGACACACGCCACATCAGCTCACACATGAGCCTGTACAGTGTTTCCAATTTTTTTAAAAAAACATAGGTGCCACTATTTAAAAATCAGAGTATTTCATGCAAAAGTTAGGATATCTGGATTCTTTAAGTATGGAAGATCCAGCAACAATAGGCTGGAGCTAAGGGAACCCTGCACCCAACAGAGAGACACACCAGCTTTCCAGGTCTTCATGGCCTACCCCTGGCCAACTCCTCTAATTTGTTACCTGCCTAGCTCTGGGGGCAGGAGTTTGAGATTTCCTACTCTAAATATTTCCCAGTGGCAATAAGCCTATTAAATCTGAATAATGCCATCCCAAGGAGGTTGGGTGCTCAATAAACAGAATGCCAAAGCCCACTGTAAAATATTATGCAAATGAGTTATTATAATATCTACATAGCAGGCCTCCAGAGGACCCTTTTTTAGTAAACTTGTTTTTTAAAAAGCTCTAAAAGCACATTTAAACACACCTTGCAAATTAACTTTCTGGCTAATCAAGATATCTGTCAAACTGGTTATTGGAGTGCTTAAGTCAATTTTGCAATTCCAAAGGCATTCTTATGTTCCTCGAACTTGAAAGTATAGAAAAGTTTCACCCAAGTTAGTATCTGGCTTCCACCCGCACTCCCAGGCCCTGGCAGCACCTACGAACGCTTCCGATTTGTGCTTCACAAGTCAGAGTGGAACTGATGAAACCAGCACGGACTTTCGTGTGTAAAAGCAAAAGGGGGAGGGGATATGTGGCAGGCAGTTAAAGGTAAAACACAATGGGTTCCGTCCAAAGTCTGTCCAACAGGTGGGACGCTCATCAAGAGCACACATGTCGCGCGGCTCAGTCTTCTCGTGGCTGTGACAGGGGCAGCCTTCCTTCTTCCCCGTGCCAGGCTGGAGGAAAGATCTACCGGGACCTAGCAATAAACTAAGACTCTTCTCGAGCCCGTTTCCCAACTTTCTGGAGCTTTCTTTACTTTAGAGATATGCAGATGTCCAAAGGGGGGCGGGAGACACTGGGTGACCAGAACTGTGAGCGGGGGCCTAGGGAAAAACTTGGACACCGGGCAGCGTCTTCAAATTCCGACCTCCGTTAGAACTGAGGACGCCGAAGGACTCCCTAGCCCAGCCCAGCCCTGCGGAAGGGACCCGAGCCACCCCTGCCGCCGCCCCGGCCCGCGCCCCGCGCACTCACTGCTCGGCCGGGCA